AATTTGTGATGTACGGTTATCATAAAAGTATTCTCTGTACCATTGATTCTCTTACTTTTCACCGAATTATATAATATGTCTCACAGGCGTCTGATATTATACAGATGTTTCTACTTACTTCATTCTCAGGATATACTAACATATGTGCTCTCTTTCTCTCTTGTCTATTATTAATTAGTGAATATGAACATTGTCTACGTAAGATGATCAAAATGATAGTGAATTTATTGAGCCAATATTCCCATTTCTAAAACAGTATAAGAACATTAATTTAAATAAAATGAATCTATTATTTTTCTTCTTGATTCTCATATACAATTAACTTAAACCTCTTACATGTAACTTAATTTCATATCTATCTATATATATATATACGTCATTTCATTTCATTGCCTGTTCTATTATTTCGGTTTTCAACATGTCCTCAAATAAAAATCAAAAATGGTCAGCAATATCTTCATTATCAAAACTTCTTTCTCATATTTCACATAGTCTTTTACTTCCATCAAAAAAATCTTCTCAAACATTAAAGAAAAATAACAAGAAAGTTAAACCAAAAGAAACTGTTATGAAAGTAAGTTAAATAATTTCTTCTATTATAATATTCTTATCTTAACTCTTTAGAATATTAATTTCATGTCACAAAGTGCTCCTGTAACTCGTCGTCATCCACCAAAATTTACTTCAAATGTTCTTCATATTCAAACTTTGATGAAAGAAAATCATTTTAAACAAATCATACATGAAAACCTGTATGCGAAAAGTGTGAATGTTGAAGAGGAAGATGATGATTATTCAAGATATTCACTTCGACCAAATTTATCTCTTTTTAATATAAGTACAGAAAATCTCAATTATAAATCACAAGATTTTGATCGAGAAGATCTATCACAACAACATGATTGGCTCGATAATATATTTCATTCAACTATGATTGAAGAATACTAAATTTTGTTTTCTTTTTCTTTTGTTCCTTTTGTTTCTGTTTATTATAGAAAAATAAATTTGATTTTTGTTCGATTGCTTGATGAGATCTAGCAATCATTTTGTTGATAAAGCAACTTATGTGTTTATCTTAGTGTGTAATGGTAAAAAGAAATGACATTAACAATGTTGCTGTCTACTGACAAACATACATTGATAGTCATATTACGTTATGTGAACATCTTCATCTTATTGATGGTTTCTTTTTTGTTTTATCGGATATATTCTAGTGTGAGAACGATAAACGTGTGGGTAAGAGAAGAAGAAGAAGGCCAGTGAAAAAATCTTAATGAAATAGATGTGTAAGAAATGGAAAGAAGAGCTTAAGTACGTTTTTCTTTTCTTTTACTGTTGTGCATAGCAATACGTGTATGGTAACTGATAGAGCATACACATATGCATATAAAATAACATACAGATTTATTGTATGAAGCATTACGTCAAGTTTTTATTCGTTCTTTTCTTCATTTGTTCTTTTTGCTGACTCCTGAGTAGTCAAACACATATGTGCCGAGGGAGCACTGTGAGAGCAGTGTCGAGGAAAGAAAAAAAAAATTTTCTACTTGCCTTGCAGTGTAAGAGGTAATCATACACGAGCATTTATACATATATTTATTATTGTGACAACTGTAGGTTTTGAATGGATTTATTACACCTAGTGAACAATTTCTCTGGTGTTTTATCATTTGCTAATGTTCGCGCTAAAGCTGATGATTTTGTTATTGATCGTTTAAGTTATAAATTTACATCAGCTATTTTATGTGTATTTGCTTTGTTTTGTGGCGTCAAATCATCTTATACTGTACCAATTATTTGTTGGACACCTGCACAATTAAAACGATATGAAAAAGCTATAACAGCTTATTGTTTTGCAAATAATACATATTATGTACCAGATGATCAACGTGTACCTTCAACTACAAATGAACGATATGAAGGTTTGATTATTTATTATCAATGGTTGGTATGTATTAGTCAAAAAAGAAAGAAAAGCAATAATCGAAAAAATAACTAATTATTTGTTTTGTCTTTTTGTTAGCCATGGATTTTTGCACTTCAAGCAGTTCTGTTTTATTTACCAAAATTAATTTGGCGTTTAGCTGTTTCAGGTAGTCAACATGATATAAGATCTTTATTAGATAATGCAAGTGAACTATATTTTATACCTAATTTTGGAAAGAAAAAATCACTTACAAAATTTCGTAATGATAAACTTGATTATTTAGATTCTCGATTATTTGTTCGAGAAGATGGTGATATAGTTACTGATAGACTTCATCATCATAGTCGTACATTTTCATGTTATTTGATAATATGCTATATTGGTGTAAAATTATTATATTTGTTAAATTGTTTATTTCAAATAAGTTTAATTCATTTTATGATTGGTACACGTCCATTTGGTATAAATCGTTTTCAACATTTAAAAGAAGATACATTTGAAACACATTTTATTGGTCAATTTATAAATAAAATAAGTTCAGGTGTATCTGAATTAATTGATACAAGTGCATTTCCAAAACGAACACTTTGTGATTTTACATTTCGTGAATTAGCATCAAATCATGCATATACTGTTGAATGTATATTACCATTAAATATAATTGTTGAAAAAATGTATGTCTTTTTATATATTTGGTTTATTTTCTTAGCATTTATTATCTTTATTGATTTAATGAAATGGATTGGACATTTAATACATTATCTTGTTAGTAGTGATAAAACACGTGAACATTATGTACGAACACATCTTATTCATCGAAGAAAGGATACTCCTATTGATATTACTAGTTTTGCTAAAGAACATCTTACAGGCAATAACTATTTTATACTTAAACTTTTATCTAAAAATATTTCAAGTTTTGTTGTTGTTGATTTATTAGATTATCATTTTAATCCAAAGCCAAATAATAAAAAAGATGAATAATAGAATATATATAATTGAGAACGAAAAATAAAAAGAATTGTGAAATGATATGTATTGAATATATAAGATATTTGAAAGTAAATAAATAATTAAAATATATATTCTAAACAATTTGTTAGTAGTTATGAAAAGAATTAGTTATATAGATTTATTGATTCTTTGTGTCAAAATAAACTGTATAAAATCGAAGATTTGTTATTTTTTGTTTCTCATGAATTTATGAATAGAATGAGATGGGATAGTGAAAGATTAATGTTTTTCTAATATGAAGAATTACGTTTTTAGTTTGTTGATACAATGAAATGATAAATAATAAATAAACATAGTATGAAAAGATGATATCATTGATGATTGATGAGGGAGAT